CTTTATATCCGAGCCACAGCTGGAAGGCATTGCCCACCGTAAGGACAGGCTTTTCTCTCCTCAGCTAATCCCTTCTGAACCCCCCCCAGACCTCCCTAAAAGCACATCTCTTAGTTGATTCCATATACAGCCAAGTTTCCTAAAGCACAGCTAAGTAGTCCACATTCGTGGAGTCCTCAGAAACCTCCAGGATGACTAACACTCTGTCCTCATAAAACACTAACCACTGACTCCCTCTTCCTCCATCTCCTAGCCACTGGCAGCCACCACTCTGCTCTCTATGTCTGTGGCTTTAACTATAGTGGTACCATATGGAGTAGAATCATGTGGAATTTGCCCTTCAGCATCCGTTCTCAAGATTCATCTAGATTGCAATGTGAGTCAAGCTCGCCTTCCTTTGGAAGGTCAGATAGAATTCCACTGTATAGACATACCACATCCTGATTATTTCTCCACCCAAGGAAACGTGGATCCGTTTCTTGGCTCCTGCCGGTCATGTGGCGTGCAACTGTCTGTTTCGGTTCTCCTGAAGCGAGGTTGCTGCATCACATGGGAGGTTTATCTGTGAATCTCTTAGGAGCCGCTGTGCTGTTCTCCACCACAGCCTCGCCACCCCACACTCTGGCCAGCAGTGCACAGAGCCTCGTCCTCATCAGCTGTAGTTATCTCCTGGTTTTGTGCTCACAACAGCCATCCTGAAGGCACCATCCATTACTCTATGGGTGGAGACACATTGTCAGGGACCATACTGTGATTCATCACTTTTAAGTCTTAGATTCTGGAACATCCCACTGCCCATCTTTGGGATGTTCTGGAGTCCTGTGGTAGTGTCTCTTCCTCTTTGAATTTTTTTAAAAAGGTTTTACACATTTTTAATTAAAATAAAATTATATCGCTTTTCTCCTTTCCTCTCTCTAACCCCTTCCATGTGCCTCCCTCAAACTGACAGCCTTTTTCTTTATTATTGTGAAAATACTTATGTGTGTGTATACGCACACGTGCATGCTTTGAACACATCCATCTTCTCATGTCGTGTGTACACACAGAGAGAGACTGAGAATGAAGAAGGGTAGGCCTGCTAACCTCATTGTGATACTGGAGAAAATACTTTCAGTTTCCCTGTCTATAGTGTTCTGTATACAGCCTTTATCACGCTACAATTTACCAGAGGCGTGAGTATATACCAGTGTGTCTTCAAAACAGGTGTGTAAAAGTGTGTTGTTGTTCCGGATGGTTATGTAGTTCCTGAATAATTCTGTAATTTCTGTGACTTGTCTTGTTATTTATTTCTAGTTTTATTCCACTGTGATCTGATAAGATACTAGAAAACTCTCAGTTCTTTTATATTTGTTAAGACTTGTTTTGTGGCCTAGAAGGTGGTCTAATTTAGAGACAGTCCCATGGGCTGCTGAGATGTACAGTTTGCACCCTCTACTAGGTGAAATGTTTCAGACAGACCTCCTCACACAGCTGGGTTGCCAGCATTAGTGCCAAACAACGAAAAGCCTTTGTTCTTGTGGGATTGGGGGGGGAGACCCTTGGGGATGTCAGACCCACCCACGCAGGCAGAAGATGCCCTGAGGACCTGGTGTGGGGGTAGAGATGGTGCAGAGGCGTGTTCCCAGGATGTCCTCACTCTCCTCATCCCAGTTCCTTTGTGGAAGCCATCTGTCACTGAGGGTGGGGAAGGGCAAATGCTGGTTCCAGGTGCCTGGTTACTGCTGGGCACCACTATACTATGGCAGGGACCATCATCTCCTGGGACTGTCCTATAGTCTCAGAGCCTCTGAGGACAGATGTTAGCCCTGGGGGCTAACCCTGGGGGTTGCTGCTGTTTGAGAGGCCCCGAGCCCACCTCTCCAGAGCTTCTGAGGCAAGCACACTTCAGGATGGTGGCTGTCACCACTACTCCTGATGTCCTAGACCTGTGATGGCTTCTATCTGTGTGTGATGCTATCTCTGCTCGGCTGGGGCCTTCTACAGTAGTGGAGAGAAGGAGCAGAGCAGCGGTGCTGAATTCTTAAGTTATGCACAGCCGAGGGGAGCGCCTGCCCTGACAGGCAGCTCAAGAAGCCATATTTCCTCAGTCTGCGTTCCAGGAGGCAGCAGTCCTACGGGATTACATTTGCCAGGACACAGAATGGACCCTTGACTCTCAAGGGTGAATTTAAAGTTTGGGGCAGTTTTACTGTTTACTGTTGTCTGTCCTTTAAGAAAAATTAAGGCGTTCTTCTGATTACAAAATGAAGCTACTCTCGGCCTGCAGAGCTGCCCATGGCCACAATCCAGATGTGGGCTCTGCACTCTCCAAAGCAGGAAAGGGTGATTACAGCAGAGGGATGATGGGGCTGGCCATAGCTGGTCCCCCCCTTGGGAGATGGAGGAAAATGGGAGGGACAGGGCCAGGTCAGATAGGGTCATCTCTGCAGCCAGACCAGGGAGGCACTAAAACTAGCCAGGAGATCTTGGTCTTAAAGCCAGAAGGATGGAGGCTGGAGAGATGGCTCAGAGGTTAAGAGCACTGGCTGTTCTTTCAGAGGCTCTGAGTTCAATTCCCAGCAACCACATAGTGTGGCTCACAAGGATCTATAGTGAGATCTGGTGCCCTCTTCTGGCCGGCGGGCATATGTGCAGACAGAACATTGTACACATAATAAATAAATCTTTAAAAAAAAAAAGAAAAAGGCAGAAGGATGAGAGGAGGGTGGCCCTCCCATGGGAGTGTGACAGGGATATGCTTGGTACTTCTGGCCCCTAGCCTCTTAGTGCCCTTTTTCCTGTTGGGGACCATCTCTCCACAGGAGGCAACAGAGCCATGCACTGGGTTCTATTGCATGTCTCCCAGAACCTTTCCTGAGATATCCCCTTCTCTGCCCTAACATCAACTCTTGCAGAACAGGAAGGAAGGCCACGGTGACTCTTGAGCCTCTCTATTGCCTGGCCCGCCCCTTGCACCAAGGGTGGCCCCAGGCGCCCTGGCTTCCATCCCTTAGGGGTGTTTCCTGATAGTTGTGTGTGGGCACCTTAATGTTCTGCTCTGCTGGGTGCCAGGGAGGACAACCCGTGTGTGAGTCAGAAACCAGTGGGAGGTGAAAGCATAGCAAAGTTTGTTCAGGGAAAAAAAAAAAAAAAAAAAGAGCCTTTGCTCATCACCCTGAGCACCCCGGATGTGGCTGTGGCTGTGGAGGGTGTGGTGGCTTCCTGCAGCTGTGGGCAACTGGAGGAGGACAGCTTGGGGCATGGAGTTTATGTGAGGAGGGTCAGGTGTGGCACAGAGCGAGTATAGGTGCCAAGAGCCATGAAGTAATGGAAATAGACGGAGAGAGGACCCTTGGCACTCACATGGGGCTGAGGGTCTCATCTAGCCTCGGGAGCTTGCTGTGTACCTGCTGCTTCCTGTCTGCCACAAGAAGGCTTCCACAAGGGACCCTGGCAAGTTGCTTCTTCCCCAGTCTCCCTTATGCTGGCGTGACCAGCAAGTGTGCGCTGTTGGCTCAGAGGCCCCCAGGTGCACTCACTGTACCCACGTGGCCTGGGCATACCCACCCTATGCCGCTGTATGAATCTAAGTGGGTACAGGGACTTGCTGAAGGCTGGGGGTGGGGCCTTGCTGTCTTCTGAGCTTCCGCAGCCTCTGGATTAGGCCCAGAGCACTTCCAGCAGCCCCTCCCACGGGCCCTTGCTAATGGAGGTCTCACGTTGAAGGCTGTTCTTCTGAATCTTCTCCGGAGTGCCTCCCAGGAGCGATTTCCACCTGGCAGCCTTTCCCTTGGGCAGGCCTCTACCACGCCTACTCCTAAGCTTTTCCTAAAAGCCCCCAGCACCTCCCTTTGCTCTCAGGACTCTTGTAAGTCCCAGCCCTTAGCCCCTTCCTCAATAGTGCCAGCTCAGAGTTATGACCATCTCTTTGGGAGATGCGCTGTCCAGACACAATCTTCAGGCTCTCTTCCGGAGCAGCTGGCCTCCCAGGGTGACCTGCCTTACCCAGCCGAGACCTGTTGATTGATGATGCCTATGGGGACTCTTGGGCCAGCAGGGACTAGCCTGGTGGCAGGTTTGCCTGCAGTGAGAGAAAGACCAGGTTTGCAGAGCTCTGCCACCAGGCCTCACGTGGTCCCACTTACTGCTGGGGACAGGGCTCTTGTGTGCTGTTTGGGGCTTTGGTTTTAATTAAACACAGGGCCTCACTTTCATTGCTTTGGCCACACCATCAGGACACATGGTCCAGGGTTTGTTATCACCATATGAGGAGGGCCCTTGCACCCAGCTCCCTTCCGGGGGAATTCACTGTGTGCCACTCTGGCCTGCCCTGTGCCACTCTGCCCCAGCTCTGTCCCAGCAAGATGTGCGTGCTGCCTTGGTTTCTATAGCTCTGCAGGTATTAGGAGAAACGTGGTGGGAGATGAAACAGTGGAAGGCCAGTGCCTGGTGCCAATGCCCATGGTGAGCTTGGGGGAAATAGAGGCCATTACCAGCAGCAGAAAGTGTAACAAGGGGCCTCATGGGTCTCGCTGTACACAGGTGGGGACTTCACAAATACACAACGTGACTAAGGAAAGAGTCTGTTAGGAGCCTTGGGCACAGTGGGAGTTAATTTTGGTTACTGACCTGACACAACATAGAATGCCCTGGGAGGAGAGTCTTTTCCACACTGGGTTGGCCTGTGTCATGTCCGTGTGCGGTTGTCTTAACTAAGTTGGAGTGCTTCACCGTGGGCGGCACCGTTCCCTAGGCAGAGTCCCGGCTGCGTAAGAATGGGGAGACTGAGCGGGGCACAAGCAAGTGAGCGTGTGAGCGTGACATGGCCACCTGCGTGACGTTCTTTCCTCCCTGAGTTGCTTTTTGTCAGGGTGTTTTATCACAACAAACGAAACTAAAACAGGAGAGATCTCCTCATCACACAGACACACACTTCTGGTGATGGGTGGGGAAGCAATGGGAGAGGCTGCCCACCAGGAGGGAGAGCCAGTAGGTAACAGCCCTCGGATGGTCTCTTGCAGCCCACCATCTCTTCGTGGTCACCGCCTGCCGGAACCCTGACTATGGCACTCTCATCCAGGAGCTGTGCCTCACCCGCTTCAAAGAAGACATGGAGACCATCGGGAAGACTCTATGGTGTGACTGGGGAAAGACCATAGGGTGAGTCCTGTCAGCAGAGGAGGGCCTGGGAGGCAGGCCCTCTCCTTTACATTGGGGCACCAGGCCATTGGGTCTAAAGAGACGGGATTGAGGGCAAAGGGCGTACCAGTTTGGCAGGTGGACAATGCAGAGAGTGGAAGGGTTGTGTCCTCAGTGGCTGTCAGGTAGCCATGGTTACCAGGAGAGCAAGGGATGGAGGGTTCAAATACCCATAACAGCCAAATGCAGGCACCTGGGGGCAGCTGAGCCTCATTCAGTGCCAGAACCCTCAGTGACTGTCTTATGATAGAAGGCAGGCCGCTAGGGATCTCCCTGCTGGCTCCTTCCATCCTATCATCAGGCCCGAGCTGACTCCCCATCTCTCTGCCCAGCCCACCCTGTTCAAGCTTCAGAATTGCAGGGCAGGTTATCACTGAAAGGGTGGCCCACAGTCCCACCAAGGGTGGAAAGGTCTCATCCTTTCCCTGTGAGACCTGGCTTTTCAACCCAAGGCCCTTCCTTCCTCCTAACACAGTGTTTGCTCACTGTCTCTCAGGCCCCAGGCACCCCACAGCAGGTTGGAGGTTCTCCCTGACAGGATATTCTTTCCACCAGCAGGAGTAAGGATCAAAGTTTGCTGTGTCCATGTTGCATTTTCTAAGCTTTGTTCCTATTTTATTGTGTGGGATTGGGAGCATCCTGGAGCTCTAGTGGGTGAGTGGGAGTGTAGGGGTGTGTGTGTGTGTGTGCTGCCAGCTCCATCTGGGGTTAGGGTGCTACCCAGGTCTAGAAGCTCAGTCCTCAGACAAAAAGTGTTCAAAAGATGAGCATTAGAGATGAAGAGAGCCTTTGACTCATGGCCATAGAACAGAAAAAAAAAAGAGTAAATTTCTCCAGCCCAGGGAGTCAGAGCAGGAATGTGGACAAAAGGAGTGACTGATAAGGGGCAGGAATGTCTGTCTTTCTGGGAATTAGCAACTCCCTCGAGAAACTCAGACATCGCGCTGCTGCTGTTACTGCTGCTGCAGTTGACGCCAAGGCCAACACCAACGCTGCTATCGCTTCTTCCTCCTCCCCCTGCCCCCCTCCTCCTTTTCCTCCTTCTTCTCTTCCTCCTCAGCCTCTTCTTCTTTCCTAGCTTCTAGTCAGGGTGGCTGGTAGGTGTCCTTAGCCTCAAAAGGACAGTCAGCAGCCAGGCAAATCTAGGTCATGTTCACCCTGTACTACAGCCTGGACAAACTGCCTTTCAAATGATCCACATACTGTCCACACATGTGTGAACTAAGAGGAATTTGACCCAAAGCTTGGGGGCAGCAAAGGAAACAGACACAACATGAAAGCAGAGACACCAAGCCTCCTTCCCAGACCCAAACCCTGATGTCTGGGAAGTCAGTGCTATCACCAGAAGCCCCTCATGTCCCTGGGAGGTCATTACCACCACAGTAACCACCACACAGCAGAGCAACCATCTGCAACTGAGCACACAGGAACTGTGTGGTCTCCTAACCATGCAATCTAGTCATCTACAAGCTATTGAAACTCAGAGGTCTGGTAGCACAAGGAAGAGATTCATGGTGAATGAACTGTGACCCAGCTATGACAGGCCTGCCTGATGTCTGAACGGATTCTGAGGGTGATTGAGGGCATTTCGTAGAACAAGGTTTTTCTCCATCATCATGCATAGGTGTTCAGTCTTGATGCCCTGTGAAAACAGGCACTTTCTTCCAGTGCCCAGGAGAAAAGAGAGGGAGTCCTAGTGACCCATGGTGGGGAAGACAGGAAGAGGGGTCCAGTATCATTCACAAAGAGTATGCTTGGTGATGTGAGGCACAGGCTTCACCTGGACTCTGGCTGGAGGCCTGGCATGTCCTGTGGGATGATAAAGCTCCCATGTGATCTTCAGAACCTCCCTGGTAGAGGGGGGCTGGAGAGCATGGGGTGGGGAGTACAGGTTCCTGGGATGGGACCCATTTTCCCTCGGGCCCTCCCTGCCCTGCAGAGGCACCTTCCCTCTTACTAAGTGTAGCCAGTGACCTTGTCTTTCCCTGCATTCTGGGGACAGAGCCTTTGCTTCTTCTCTGTGATCCTTTGCCACAGCAGAGTGTACGGTCCCTGCACACTTGTTGAAGACAGTCTGTAAAATGGAAAAGTTCATTTTATTGTGTTGCTGAGATGAAAAATAACCTGTTGTAAAGCAACTTGTGGGAGAAACGGGGCTTAATCCAGGTTATAGTGATCACTGTGGGGAGTAAAGGTAGGAGGTTCACATCCTAGCCACCAAATCCATTCAGAGCAGAGAGAAATGAAAGCATGTGTGCTCGTTTGCTTGTGCTCAATTCGAGTTCTCTACCCATAATCCGGGCCCCCTGCCTAGGTGACGGTGCCCCCCACAGTGGGCTGGGTCTTCCTACATCAGTTAATAATCCAGATAATACCCCTCAAGCCAACCCGATCTGGACAATGCCTCCGTTAACACTGTATCCCCAGGTGATTCTAGGTTGTGTCGAGCTGACAGTTAAGACCAATCACAGCACAAGATGTCTGCCATGGTGGTGCAAGACGAAGGCTTGAATCATGCACCCATGCTCCATCTCCAGGATGGAGAGTTTTGACAGCTGTGGTCAGCGATATAAACTCAGGCCCTTTGGCTCAGGACCTACAGCTCTGTAGACACAGGTGTCCAGAGGCCCCCAGCAAGCCCCACAAGGGGCACTGGGAGTCTGTTGGGGTCTTTATCCACCCTCTCCTTTCTCTGCCCTACTGGGCTGCTTGGAGACATTTGGCCTCCTCTTCTGAGCTGAGGAATGAATCAGGAGTTGTAAAAGAAGGGACAGGTTGTTAAAATCAGAACAGCCTGTTCTGAGGGCTAATTGGCTTCCTGGCTCAGCTGAGCAGTTTGTGTTTAAATGAAAGTTGCATTTATTATGATCCAGGGAAGACACAGCAGGGCCCTGAGGGGAAGCGCTCACTGCTTGCCCTGCATAGATCAGCGATTACTCGTATGCACAGACTGACAGCAAGGGAAGACGGGCAGGATGGCGGACGCTGGCAGGGTGGTGCAAGGGTGTTCTAAAGAAGCAGGGCCGTGGGCTAGAGACGTGAAGAGGAACGATTAGCATCAGGCCAAGGAGAGGTGGCCGTGGTCAGAGCCTCGGGGTTGTGCAGCAGGGGGAGTCCACGTCACAGCAGCACCTTAACAGGTCAGCTCGGAACCTGCAAGCTCCAGGTCTACGGTCTACACGGTGATGTCATGCCCCTGCCCTCCTCTCTGGGTCCTGTGAACCCACTGCATTCCACGGTGTGGGGGAGTCAAGTTGCAGGTGGAACTGAAGACAGGAGCTGGATGTCCATTCTGTGGAGACCACTCTGGATTCCCCAGGGGGTCAGAGTTAATCCAGGGCTCCCTGAAGTCCTGCAGGCTCTTGCACTGCATGACTTTCAAACTGGCTTTTGCCCTTGGACAACACTGGTCCTCGTCTGAGCACTTCCTTGCCTTCCTAGGTTTATCTTTGATGTCCTAGGCTGGGAATCCGCCATTTCTCCAAGGACTCATCATTGCTCCCATCAGGGTGTGAAATTCAGGACCCATAGTAGAGTCCAGTTGTATACAACCCCATGTTTGCACACCCATACATACACATGCAGACCCCTAATTGGATGGACTCAATGTAACCACACAAAGTTAGAAAACATGGGTAGCCCCTCTTGGTAGGGACTTTAATAATTGGTTTATCGCACTGGAGGGATGGCTCAGTGGTTAAGAACACTTGTTGCTCTTCTAAAGGACCCAAGTCAGATTTACAACCTCACACAACTGCCTGTGGTTCCAGCTTCAAGGCGTCTGGCACCTTTTTCTGGCCTCCTTGGACACCTGTGCGTGTGTGTGTGTGTGTGTGTGTGTGTGTGTGTGTGTGTGCGTGTGTGCGTGTGCGTGTGTGTGTGCGCACACACACACACACACACACACACACTCACATGAAAGAATCACCCTACCCAGCTGGAGAATTTGGTAGATTCCCCAGGGCAGGCAGCAGGCTGAGAATGTATACAACAGGGCTTGCATATATGTGGATTCATTAGTCTCAGGGTTGGATTTCTTCCCATGGACCAGGTAAGGCCCACTCACCTCTCCGAGATTCGCTCTTGATTGTGAATGTTAAGCACACATCCCAAATTCCAGACTGCTATTTTATTTACTAAAACTTGAGTCCTAGGCCTGGCCATGTGGCTACCCTGGGTGGAGTCAGAGCTCCCTGCCGCCCGCCATCCCTTCCTACTTCTCTGGCCACACCCACTTCCTGTGGCCGATGTCTCATTGCCTCCTTCTGTTTTCTTCCTGTGTTTCTTTTGCACAAATGAGCAGGTGTGTGCATTTTTCTTATATTTTCATTCTTAGATAAAGGACAACATAAAGCCAGGCTGTGATGGTGCACTCCTTTAATCCTAGAGCTGTAGAGGCAGAGGCAGGTGGATCCCTGAGTTCGAGGCCAGCATGGTCTACACAGTGACTTCCAAGACAGCCAGGGCTACACAGAGAAACCCTGTCTCAACAAACAAGCAAACAAACAAACAAATGGGTAGCTTATAACTCCACCTCTTCTTGGACTTTAGATCATTTGTTTACTTAACAGTACATTCTGGAACTTCCTCCATGGCCATACATGGAGAGCTCCTCTGTTTTCATATATGTGTAATATTCTACTATGCAGTTTCTCAACTGGGGTCCTACGAAGAGTCACTGCAGCTGTGTCCGGCATTTTTTCACTCAGATGATATTCGCACCGGCTGCCTGTGCCTTCCCACTGTTGGATAGCTGGGACGCAGGGTCAGAAGATGGTGTCACGAGGGTCGAAGGTTGCACTGTGTGCCCCATCTGCAGTGCCAGGCCATCTGTGTCCCCAGGGGTTTGCCAGCGGACTGTGCTGTCCTGTCAAGACTGTCGCCGTCTGGGAAGTGGCATTTCTCTGGTTGCAATGAGTCTGAACATCCTTCAGGTGTTTCAAGGATCATTCTTTCCTTTC